ATGTTGTTGTTGACTTAGAATAACATCACATCCACCACCATCCTCTCCACAGAGGCACGTACAGTTCTGCACATGACAAAGGAAATTCAGCTTTGATGTAAACACTGAGCCACAGTGACAGGTTACAGATCCGTCATTCGAACAGTCCTGATATCTCAATTATTGGGTCAAGGTTTTCTCGTCACTAGTGCACATAGAAAGCAGACAGTCTTTAAAAATCGGGACCGCTCTCGTTTCCAAAAGTTAGGCGCATTCCACACGCAATAAACCTGCTTCATTTCTATCTTCCTGAAACACAGGACAATAGAAAGAGGCCAGATTAAGAGTGTGTGGGAGAGAAATTACAGTCAGCGTGTGTAGCCTACTGTATGTATGTGAGAGCGACAGAGTGGTAGACTGTTCAACACACACACACACACACTCACAGAGAGGAGGAAGCAGTCACATGTTCGGAGGAGGAGGGGGGAGGGACTGCCTGTCACTCGTCTACGTCACGACTAACGCCTCCCTCTCTCCCTCCCTCCCTCCACTACAACTCACATGACTGCAGCAACCCTGTTCTGTAACTCCAGTCACGAGGATAGAGTAGTATTACAATAACCAGCCGGCAGGGGCGACTGCACAGACACACACTGAGGGAAAGAGGGCTGGAGAGATAGAGAGGGACTAGAGGAAAGCCACCGGGCAGCCCTAATAACCCCGAGTAAATATTAACATATTAACGCTGCGTTTGTAGAATAGATAACCTTATCGGACTGCACATGAAGAAAGAACTTAAGCTGTGATACAGTTTGGTTTTTCCTTCTGTGGTCAGGTTTCTCCCTCATGTGTGTAACTCAAGGATTTTGCAGCAAGAAGAAAGACCTGCAAAGATGTTAAAGTAAATATAAGATGATGCATGTTACAATAGGACAGGGGTCGGCAACCTTTACTATTAAAAGAGACATTTTCTGGAGCCGCAATTCATATCTGTGCCTTAGCGTGACGGCAACACAGCCTGTTCAATCTACATTAGCCTATAAATGTTCCTAATAGGTCGAAACTTTGCTGCTTTAATGGTGAGAACAAACAAATCTGTCGACTCTAGGGCTGCCCTCTGATAGTCAACCAAACGTTAGTCGACAAGATTTTATCATAAAACAAATATGAAACTCCATTAGGAGCTGCGACTTGTTAAAATAACTCCAAACCAATATGACTGGACCATGTGGGACTTTAATTTGAAAGGACAGACACAGGAAGTGTCCACGCTCAGCAGTCAGACAGGAGTCAGGTTAATTTCCAGGGCTGGTACCTGCGGTTATTCCACAGGCTAGTTAATAACATGTCGGGCAGGAAATCCAAAGTGTGGGATCATTTTGAGAAGGTGAAGGACGAACCCAAGGTGATATGTAAACTCATCTTCATTGGTCGACTACAAACATGACGTATCATCTGAAACATGGAAGTAGCTACATGCCCATTAGCCCACAGCGTCATTAACAGGCGGCTCGCTCAGTGTGTGACGTGCACTTGGAGATAAAATATAGGCCTATATTAATGAAGATTCATTAGTACGGTTTGTATTTCTCTGTAATGTAGCACAGTGTTAACAATGTTACTGATACTATTCTTTCTCACACCTTCAACTCAAACCACCAAAATATATCATTTAATACATCAAATTAATATCGTAAACATGCGGGCGACTATTCGACTAATGGCCCATAATGAAATTCTCTATTTTCCTTCAAGACGTTTTCGTTTTTGGAGTTGGAATCAGTAGCTAGCCTCACTAAGGAGACTCAAGCTCGGCCCTCGCTATTGAGATTTGGCAAATTTAAGGAAAAGGCGCCAGGCTGCGGACGTATGACTCACATCGTTGACAAGATGTTCAAACCTTTCTTTTATTCAGCATACAGGCCACACATTTATACAACTGGAAGATGTAAGAATCACTTTAGAACTACAAAAACAATGAGAAATCAAAATTAAAATTTTGACTAAACACGGCTCGTGAGCTGCAGGTTGCCGACCCCTGCCATAGGACATGTATAGTTTTCTCATTCTGTTTGTAGCTTTAACGTTGTTGAAATCATCTTACTGCTCACTGTCTGACACTATCGTAGACATATACTCTGTATCAACATGTTCCAGCTCCTTCCTGAAGATATATGATGTTTCCATTCAAACCCAAGACATTTATGGCCGCACTGTTCCATCGAATGGAAATATTCTAGGTATCTTCCACATCAACGTCACATTTCCCCAAAGTCAACCTGCCATATTTGGTATCTTTGGAAACTCCTCTGCTCCTTCCTCAGATCAGTGGTTCACAACTGGTGGGTCATGCTCCAAAAGTGGGTCACGGGTCCGCAAGTGACTTTTGACCCCCTTGAATAACGTCCATATTTCATAGTAGTAGTATAATAACTGTTTCACGTTTCTTGATTTTTGCACTTGCTTTGATTCCATATCTTCTTATTGTGTTTATGCATCAATACACCAAAGTAAATTCCCTGTATGTGCAAACCTGCATGACAATAAACCTGAATCTGACTCTCTAATTCTGATTTTTGATCTCCTTGAATATTCATAATAAAGTTCCGCAGGTTTGAGCGATGTTTGGCTGCGCAGCATGAGTTTGCCCAACCCTTTGATCACCACATGATCAGGATTTAAAGGCATATTAATGCACAGAATTGATTAGGCACAGACACGCTGAAGGATCTTATGGTCATGTCATGTGATAACACCACCATCGACTGTATTATAGATACGGCTCAAGACCCTGGTGGAATATCATGATGAAACCATTGGACATACTGACAGAAGAAAGTATAAGAAAGCCATTGTATAAACTCAGCAGGCGTGTAATAAGTCTGTGCATGCATATCATAGGTGTGTTATGGTTGAGTGATGTCATACATCGCATACTGACGTCACTATCTAGTTAAATGTGTTTTCATATTGGGAATGTTTTGGTGCATTTCTTTCCTCATGGGGCGCAAGTTCTTCTCTCTTGGATACATCTGTCTCTGTGTGTGTGCGTGTGCGTGTGTGTGTGTGATGTGGCAGCACATGTCACTGCTGCACGTTATAAATAGCCCACCGTCTCCCTGGATCCCACCAGACACTGAATTAACCTGCTTAAGCTGCCAATCAGCTGTGACAGATCCCCTCTCCACACACACACACACACACACACACACACACACACACACACACACATACACACTCACCCCCCACCCCATCACACCTTCCAATGACCGTGCAATCATAACAATCACCACGACGCAATCTTACGTCACACACTGTGATGCAATAACACCGGGGGTCATGTATTCCTCTGACATATTTGTTTACGTATTTCGGAAGCGCGACTCTACAGTCAGGAGGGAGATGGAGATTAGACCTGATATGCTCTGATCTGTCCTGTGAGAATTTGTCGCCAAACCCCGCTCAAAAATCTGCTAATTTAGTGGTTCCTTCCATGTACGCAACAAAACATACATCAAATTTTACAATCAATGATTGAATGTTGATAAATACTTTCTCCTTAAAGATTCGGCAAACATTACAGGTGCAGGACGTCACTTCATTTTGATGAAATCTCAACTTCTATAATTGGTGAGCACCACTCGCTACCGCCCTCCGCGGCTCTCCCGAGCAGGAGATTATTCTGGGATTAGCAGTAGAGCCAGTTCTAAAAGTTCGCACATTGTTTTAATAATTGCTGCTTGGTGCGTTGACTGTATCCCGATGTCGATTAAAGAACCTAGTCATTCATTTAAAAAGCAATTTATTTTCAGATGTTGCACATTATTGCCAATAAGCAAAGGAATCTCAAAATTGTAGGGATTTACGAACGTGGTTTGGCGATTTGGCGCTTCCTTAAAATTCGGTGCAAAATCCCTAATCCGCGACCCCCCGGGCAACACCATGGGTTAATAACCTGTCTGTCATCATCACCGCTGCAGAAAATGCAATCAAAGCGGCCGTTGTTTGTCGGTTGGCCGCAGCAAACAATCGTGTGAACCAGACGAAGGTTTTGTAACCGTTTCCTAACGATTACGCAAACGCTTATGAAAACGTTCAACTGCAGCAACTTTCTCGGATGATCCAAACACACCGTCTCCTCTGCATCCTTATTGCTTTGCACAACATCGCCTGACAGATTGACCGATTTGGCAATAAATTACAGGAATCATCCGTGGGAGTTGCTCAACTTCACAGCGCACCGACACAGCCTGCAGGGATCCAACGCAGAGATCCCCAGTTAAGCTCACGGTGCTGTGGCAAGCAGCTTATAATGGAGTGGATAAATAACATTACACAGCACTGATGTATTACAGTGTGTGCCCAGAGAGACACTTTATTAAACAGCCGCTTCGACTCTGAGAGGAAAAATAAATAAAACACAACATCCCAGCAGCCGAATAATGCATCAACAAAAAGACACACAAGTCTCATCTCTGCACGTTTTGGTTTTAGAGCCAAGCAGTCCTGTAGCCACTGGATCACTATTATAATGTGTTAATATCATAATAGTCCTGAGGCTAAGTCCATGCGCTCAGAGGCGCACCACGTGTCCAAGTCTCCGGCACTGAAATTAAAACTTCCCTCAAGAATGCGTCAAAAGTTTCCAAAGCGCCCCTCTGCATACCAAATAATCCTCCCCGAGCAGCAGCACGCCGGCTGCTCTCCGCTTCCAGCACCGACACAGAAATATTTATTCGCTTTAATCCGTCAAATTCTCCCAATGCCCATGGCTGATGACATTTCCTCCAAAAAACACGTGAAAGCCAGACATAGTAGACATTCACACACACGTACACGCACACACGCACACAGTAGACTGAGACACCGGGTCGCGCTGTGCCGGGGAGATGCTGCTGACAAGCCGGTCGAGAGCCTCGCATCAACCGGGCGTAGCGTGCGCCACGGCCGGCGACGTGCAAAGACGCGCCCCGGTGTGGAAAGCCCAAGGTTCGGTGCATCCAGAGAGGCCCGAGTCTTACCTGGCTGCCGGAGTTTTCTGTCAGGTAATTGAAGACAAAGGACGAGAGTTCCTCATCTAATAGTGGGGCGCAGTCCGCCATCTTCTAGTGAATGAGGAGCCGCGGAGTCAGAGAGCGGAGTATAGGAAGAGGAGGAGGAGCAGTGGGGGAAGGCCGCCTGCAGGGGGCGCATCTGTTTACACACATACAGACACAAAGCAAGGTATTAAAGACATGCGGTGCCCCAAGTGGGGCCTGGGGACCTCCGGGGGTCCATGCAGTGGCTCCAGGGGGTCCTACAGTAAAATGAGAATTAATTTCACTTCATTGTGGTTAAAAATAATCAAAAATTAATGCCACAGGATAATTTACAAAAACTTCCCTATTGCAATACAGTGATTTAAAAGTAATAAAAATAATAGCATGGAAGATGTGAAGGTATTCAGCAGGCTACACACAAAGTGGATTAAATAAGATTAAATAAGATGAGATAGACTTTATTGTCTCAAAGGAAATTTGTCTTGTATATAGAGTACCTGTCATTAAAAGATACAAAAAAGTTTATACATACAGTTCCTACATACAATATTTATTTAGACAGGACAAAGACTGATTATAAAGTGCAATAAAAAATGTCACCTGCTAACTGATAACTTTGGTATTTTCAACCTGGACCCCATTTTCCAATGTTTTGTGCCCAAAGCCCTGTTTCCACCGAGCTGTTCACTTTGGTGCGCTTTTTTTCCGTTTCCACAGTGAAAAGTTGTGGATGTACGAATGTAACCGTTCCATACCTTCCCCATTTTGGGTCTGCCCTCTGTTGAGCCCCGTTTCCACCAAACACTTCTGGTACAGTACCTTTGGAACCAACAGTAACCCTTCAGACATGGTACCTAGACCCTCGGCCTGTTTAGCGTTTCCACCACAAACAGTCCTCTTAAATGTGGGCAGGGTTGTTGTCACTCACTGCTCCGTCCAGCACTCGTATTTCCTCATCAGCGGTGACACAGATGGAAGTCTGCACCTGGTTTATCGTCCACAGAACGAGGCTGCACGCTCACATTTTCAGAACAAAATAGAACAGGCTGCAGTGAGAGTCTTTCTCCATGGGATATTTAAAAATAGCAGCTTTGTGCATTTAGTCCTTCTCAGGCAAGCTCAGGGGTTTAGTGTTGCTGTAGCCCACAGGAACGCTACGGTCCACAGCGCTTTTTTCCCCCAAGTGAGGATTGGGATATATGCAGTTCACATAACCTGGTCAAAATTAATTTACATTTTTAAATGTTTGAAGATCCACTTATTATTAAAAGTGTGTGTCAAAGTTGTCACAGTGAAATTTAAGGTGCGTTAACGTTGTCACCTCATACACTGAGTAACATTACAACTAAATGTTCCACCTTAAAAGTTGCCGGCAGTCGGCCCAGTGAATGAAGTTATTTTTTTCTTAGTCAAACATCCTTTCATTTTATACAGTTTACTAATAAAACTCTCCACAGTATTAACAGTGGTTACATGAGCCTCAAAACCAGACACAACTCAGCCCTGAGCAGAGTGACCGTCCTCTACTGACCAATCAGACTGCAGTGTTCACAGCTCCACCTTTTAGTACCAGATCTGTGTGCTAGGTACCCCAACAGAGGGGGGACCAAACATGGGGACGGTATGGAACGGTTACATTGGTACCATCCACAACTTTTCACAGTGGAAACGGAAAAACAGTGAACTGAACTGCTCAGTGGAAGCTTTACCGTCCCCATGTTGGGTCCCCCCTCTGTTGGGGTACCTAGCACACAGATCTGGTACTAAAAGGTGGAGCTGTGAACACTGCAGTCTGATTGGTCAGTAGAGGACGGTCACTTTGCTCAGGGCTGAGTTGTGGTTTGGTTTGTGGCTGGTTTAGGTTTTTAAGTCAGGCTCCACTTGTTTACTGTATTTATAGGTTTGTGATTTCTCCATGAGTATATTACAGAGTTAAATCTCCATCTGCACCACCTATGATAAATAACCCAACATTTTTGCCCTTTATCGAAACCAGACACAGCATAAAAGCGAGTAACCACAAAACCAAACTGGTTCTCCAGTGACTTCCGTCATTATCCCAGTCACAAACAAACAAACCTGATCATTCAGGACGCTCTGTCTATTCTTCAAAATTCTCGTTGAACCACTCTGCCTTTGTTTTTGAGCAGCACGGACATAAGTGTTGGCTGTATCCTGTTGCTGGGCAACTGCAAAACCAACTTCTGTCAGTCATTTAGCTCGCACAGTTGATGACATTAGCTGATGTCATTGTAGCATTAAAGAGAAATCTCACTGTCTATTTCAGTCACAGCATGCTGTTTCCTTTTGTGTTGGAGAGAAAGGCCACACAGTAAAACTTTTTCACCTGTGGGTGCTTCTCTCAGAATCATTGTATTGTGTGCGATTTGCCTCAAACTCACTGTTGTGCAAGGAGCTGCAGCAGTTGCAACATGTTGCAGCCGGCTGTTCATGTGCTGCTGCCTGTCTGGGATGTTTGTGTGATGAAGACACTTGAGCTGATATTTGCGAAAAGGGTTTGGGTAATAAAAATGAGCTGATAACTGTGTTTTATGATCAGTTTCAGGTTAGTGAGTCATGCCATTTTGCGAGAAGACAAGTGCATCAGGGATTGAATGTGGCAGCGAGTGAGCAGTCGGCTCTGTGTCAGCATCATAACATGTAATGGAGTCAGGAAATTGCTCATATCTGGATGTGAGTTTACAGCAGATTAAACTGAAATTATTAAAATACAATGTGCAGAATATTACATCATGCATCAAAATTATGACACGACACAATCCTAACGTTTATTTTAATGAAAGATTCTGTTATATTTTTATGGTTCTCTGTGCTGTTATTGCAGCTCATACACACCAGATGGGAAAATCAAGCACTAATGGTGGTGATTGTAACGGTATCACTGCATTGCAGCACAGAGGTTGTCTGCTCTGTGAGGGTGGATGTGTGTTGGTCAGGGAAAGGTTAACTGTCTGAGGCAGGTGAGGCCAAAAAAGGGTGTCTGTGAGTCTTTCAGAAGTCTGGCTGACAACACTGACAACACTGACCTTAAAGGGGGACTACGCCCATTTTCAAAATTCATACATGTTATTTCCACGATCTCAGACAGTCCAAAAATATTAGTAAAAATGAACAACTCAAAATTATGATGTCATAGGGTATAACTTCTGGAGCTGCTCCATAGATGATGAATGGAGCAAATTAGGTAATTTATTTGATTTTATTCTAATTTTATTTTGTTAAATTATTTTACTTTATTTTTAATTAGTTTTATTATTTTATCTTATTCTGTTTTTGCTAAATTATTTTATTTTGTTTTGTTGTTATTATTTTTGTAATTTGTTTTGTTTTGTTTTATTATTTTATTTTAATTTAATTTATTANATTTTTTTGTCTTCAGTTGCTGGACCCTGTGTTTTGTCCCCGTCAGATTAAATATGTTCAAATATATTTAAAATGTAGGCTAATGTAGGCAATGGCTTAATGACTAGTTAATGGATAACAATTAATCAAACTTTATTATGTTTATGTGTTGATGATTCCCCCGCTCTAACTCGGACTCTTTCTATTCTATTTTATTATATTTTAAATTATTTTATTTTATTTCATTTTTTGTTTTGTTTTATTATTTTATTCTATTTCTATTTTGTTTTGTTTTGTTTTATTATTTTATTCTATTTAATTGAATTTAATTCTATTTAATTCTATTTAATTTTATTTAACCATGAATCGTCCCAATAAGATTAAATCTCTTTTTCAAGGAGTCCTGGCCAAGACTGCAGCATGATGAATTTCACATATAAGAACAGACAAATGTTGTGTTCACACTACAAGCGACACAGCAAGTGTGCCCAGCTACTTTATCGCCAAGCCGCTGTTGAAGTTACATCATTACAGCTACATTACACCTGCCACAAAGTATCTTGAATGAACATCACTTAAAGTTTGTATTTGGACATAAAATATCTGCGCTGATGATCAGTGTCTGAGCCCCATGATAACGCCACATTTCGCTGCCCCAATGCATCGCTGTATGCATCACAAGCTGATACTAAGATGAGGGAGCAAAAACTCTAAAAACAATTTCAACAATCACCGACTTTCAACCAGCTTATTGGGACTGTTAATATGTGAGTTCTGCTTCTTCTATCTTTGTGAGGACCAGTGCATGGTAAGACATGAGGACCGTTTTGGAAAGCAAGAGCATTCCTGTGGTCCTCACTTCCTCCTCTTTTAACTTGGGTCTTATTTTGAAGTGTTGACCATCATTCCTTTCTGTACCAGTAGCATTGTACAGAACACAGCGAGGTAATTGCTCTGGGATCTGGGATTTTAACAAAAAACTACTGTCTGACAGAAACAGGAGCAGTCAGGTGATCAGACAGGTTTTAAACAAACCCTCCAGGTTAGACAAATTTGTTTGGAGAACAAAAAACAGAGAAAGGGATTAATTTTCTGTTTTCAGTGTGCTGGAGGGGAGACCTCTAAACGTGCTCCAGGTGTGCCACAGAAGAAATGGATTCTCATATAAAAATATTTCACTACAAAAATGGTTAAACTTACAGATATCGGGACACAACCACAGACTGAATAACAATGAACATGGCCGCCGTAACATCACCCACTGGTTTGGGAACTCTCGTTTTGAACCCTCGGCTTTGACATTCTAGTTTTTGCCATTTTGGATTTTGGGAGACAGAAGTGACCATATTAGGAAAAGAGGGTGGGGCTGACTGAGAGCCCAAAATAATGCCTCCCAGACTCTTTGTTGCTGTTTTGTGTTTTTTGTAGTCCACTGAGCACTTTGGGATAATTTTGTGTCTCTTTGAGATAATGTTGTGTCTTCTTTGGGGTAATTTTGAGTCTTTTCAAGTCATTTTGTGTCTCTTTGTAAATATTTTGTGTCTTCTTGTGGTTGTTTTGTGGGGGGTTTGTAGTCCTTTTAGCTCTTTGGGGTCTTTCACCTCTTTGCATCTTTTTAAGATAATTCTGTGTCTCTTTGAGATAACTTTGAGTTTACTTTGGTTATTCTGTGTCTCCTTGTGGTTGTTTCGACCATTATTGAAGTTATT